GGAGGGAAAATACAAAACACTTATGACAGAGGTTGAATAATTTTAAAAACAATGAGTAATATAAATAATATTTCTTATCTGTTCCAAACATCAAATTATTGATAATTCCCCTTCAAGATAATTAACATTTGGAACTTGAAAGGAAAACATTTTCCCATAGCTTAGCACTTTCGTAAAGATTTCCAAGAAGCTTGAAAAACAGTATAATGAAGCAGGAGCTTGGTAGCCTTTGAAAAGTTTGAATCATGATAATTTAGTAAAATAGAGTTATGAGAAATATAACTGTTGTATGAGGAGGAAAACAGTTGAGGCTTCCCAAACATGCCAGAAAAAATAAAGGAAACAAATAATATATTTTCAGATAAATAACAAAAATGAAGATAATATTTTTCTATCTGTAGACTATTTGTTAGAAGTAATTCCTAAGTAGAAATATAAACAATAGAAGACAAATGAAATTGATTATGCGACCTGAAAAATATTTCTAACTCTCCCATATAACGTACACTGGAATTTTCCACCTGTCAGGAAATATCTACCTTTCTATTGACCAATCAACATGTCTGATGACAGTTTTATCTCATTTATATTAAAATTAAAATAAGCATGGCTTCATAGAAAATGTATTTCTAATATATAAACCTCAAATGGTCATTATTTGGATTTTTTTTTTTTTTGCTTTTCTACTTCAACCATTTGAGATATCAGTTTATGTAGATACAGTCTTAATATCAAATTTCCACAAAATTAACTATGCCAACATAACTGGTAGAAAATAGAATTTGGGATTTCAGAAGACAATTATAGATGGTTCTTCAGGACTTGGCTAAGTTCTTAGCCCATAGTCTCAAACTCAACATAGATTCCGTAGCCTAAACAAAAAGGAGCTTCAGTTTGTGGTATTTTCAGAGTCAGTAAAAGGGTGATTATATTTTTTAAAACCATGAGATTTTTCCAGACATGACCAAAAAATGTTAAAAAATAAAAAAGGTGAAAAGGTGATAATACAGACACCTATTTATCTATGCCTGTCATAATAAAGAGAAAGTACTAATACTTGGTAAATAAGACTTTGAAGATATGATTAAATTAAGGATCTTGGGCTGGGAAGATGATCTTTGTGAGCCCAGCGTAATCACAGGGTCTTTGTAAGAGGAAAGTGTAAGAGTTAGACGTAGTAGCTATGATAATGATGTGATGATGGAAACAAGAGGTGAGGAAGGGCCATGCGCCAAGGAAAGCAAGCAGCATTGTGCTAAGTGCTGCGAATTTAAAGGAAAATGTGGAGGTTGGATTCTATAACGCTGTGTGATGAAGGATGTGTCAGAAGTCCTAGCAAGTCTTGAAAAGATGCTGTGTGCATCACTCAGGGGTGGCTTTGGGAGGTCTCTGTAACTGTCACAGAGGTTTTAGGTTCTGTTGTCAGGGGATTTTAGCCTCTATTTGCTGCTGATTAGCAAAGAATGAGGGATACATTAAAGGCATAGTCATAGAAGAGGAGGCAGGATTGAAAGTTCCTGTCAAGACAGCGGAAATGAAACTGTGGAGTCTTCCTTATAATGAAACATTCTGTAGGCTGATAGGATTCTTAGACTAAAAGAGTGATGTCCAAAACGTGTATACTTGTTAGCCCCTCCAAGTATGTTGGTGCTATATATTCACAAACAAAAGAGGATTCTTTAGTAATTGTCATAGACTACATCTTTATGGAACTTTTAACCACAGACCAGTTATTTCTCATGTAATCATCCTGCATTAATTTCTTGTAAATTGTGCACTTGTGTGCTAGGCATTCAGGAAAGTCATTAGAAAAAACACACCTACTTCCCACACTCGAGGAACTGACATTATAATATATTAATTACAATAACTTGTTCTCAGTCCTGGAGCAGAGTTAACCTGGCATTATACTATCTACAGGGAGAGAATTAAGAATCACTAATAAACCTCAAAGATCTGACATATGTAGACCAATTTCTTAAAGCTCAAAGAAATACAAATTTTAGATTTTTATGTCATATTCATCCTGAAGTCTTAATGTGTTAGCCAGAATGCCCAGTAAACCACATTTAATTGTCCTGGGAACCTGATTAAATAATTCAGTTCATTTTTACTTAATTTAATTGTTTATTAGAACTTGAGCAAAATGATTCACAATGGAAAAACTTAGCTATAGCATACATTGTAAGGGAAGAAAAAAGTGTGCAATAAATGCTCTGGGTGAATTGACTAAAAATGTGAGAGAAAATAGAAATTAATTTCAAATACAACAAAAAAGTTAATTGTTGAAAGTCAAATGTAAAAATTAGAAATAGTTTAACCTCCTAACATTTAAAAAGTCAAAAAATTTTCAATAGTAAATAGAAAAAAATGGAGATACCATCTCACACCAGTGAGAATGGCACATATTAAAAAAACTAGCAACAACAAATGTTGGCGAGGTTGTGGAGAAAAAGGAACTCTCCTGCACTGTTGGTGGGAGTGCAAACTGGTCCAACCACTATGGAGAGCTGTGTGGAGATTTCTGCACCTACTAAACATAGAGCTTCCATAGGATCCAGCAATTCCACTCCTAGGTATTTACCCAAAGGACACAGGAACATCAATTCCAAAGAGCACCTGCACCCCTATGTTTATAGCAGCACTATTTACAATAGCTAAGCTTTGGAAACAACCCAAATGCCCAAAAATAGATGACTGGACCAAGAAGATGTGGTACATATACACCATGGAATATTACTCAGCAATCAATAAAGATAAACACATGCAGTTTGCAGCAACATGGATGGCGCTGGAAGGGATCATGCTCAGTGAAATAAGCCAAAAAGAAAAAGAAAAATACCGGATGGTCTCACTCATAGCAGGAATTTAGAAAACCTAAATAAAAGACCAGGAAAAAGACTAATCAATACAAAGTAAAAATCAAAATCAACAAGCAACTATAAGCCAGAGACACACTACGGGGTGTGGGGGGTGGGTAGAGGGAGGGGCTGGGAACGGAAGGACTAGAGTCAAAATAAGGGGGGGGTGCAATTGTATGGGGAATATAACCAAAATGAAAATGCATACATTGTGCAAAGATGAAAAAAGATGTAAGAATTATATAAAATAAAATATTTAAATAAAAAATAGTAAATAGAAAAAAAATGACATACAAAAATATGAATAATATATACAAATATAAATACAAAATAATTTCTTAAGTTTTTTTTGTACACTGATTTTGCATCCACTAATCTAGTTAATTCTTCCTTATTCAAGGAATTTGCTTGTGGACTATTTGGGTTTCTATATCTATAATCATACCATACATAAATAAGAACAGTTTAGCCTCCTTACAGCATTAATTTCTTATTTTGCTGCCCCAGTTAGAACCATCACTGGTCCAATATTGAGGAGCAAGAGTCATGGAGGAGGGGGGGTCTCATCTAGTCACCTCTCCTTATTACATCTTACCCTTGCACATTTTTCCTAGTGTGTGCCTGCTGGCAGTATGCTGTCTTAATTTTTTTTTTAACTAATGAAGATCTTATTTTATTATTTTTTTAAGATTTTATTTATTCATGCATATAAGAAGTGGGATACAGGCCAGAGGTGTGGGGGGTGAGAGGATTCACCAGAGACGGAGTGGGTAAAAGAAAATAGGCAGACTGACTGAAAATACACTGCTAAGGGGAGCAGTGGGCAAGCCAGGAGAGGTGCTGCACCATGTGGGTCACCTCCCTGGCTGGACATTGAACTTGTGCTTCAGTGGCTGCAGAAAGGTTCATAGGTTGTGTCTGAACCGCATACGCCAGCAGGGAGGCCTATGAAGATCCCATTTTAACTTTTTCTGATTTTTTTTTTTTTTTTTTTTTTGCTGAGCTTCTAGCTTATCAGTAATTGTTTCTCAGTTCATTGAAGAGAACTTTCACTGCCTTTTGACACTTGCTTTTGCAAGAGAGAGGTCGCATGTTACTCTAAAACAATGTAGCAGGTTACTTTAAAAAGAAATAAAGCCAGATTCCTGATGCTAACTGTCCCAGATGCTTTGCCTGGGTTCTTGCTATTCTGGGATTTCTACACCACTGAGAAGTTTCAAATTGTCATCTGCCATCCAGAACTATCTAACCATTGCACAAGCTGACTATGAAAGCAATGCTGGATTAATGCACAGGATTGTCTCATAGAAAGTTAAGCAACTCACCATGAAGTAGAACACAGTCATTTAATGTTTGCTTAAGGAGAAGTTCAAAAATTTGAAATTCAGCTCCATCCATTTTTTTTTTTTCATGAATGTACCTATTAGACACAGCAGATATGTCTGCTCTTGAACTAGGATATGTGTATGTCTCTTGCCATTTTGGATATTCATGTCACACACACACCCTCAAAGTTGTTGATCTCCAGAAAATGTGTGACTTGAAAGCACCTTTAAAGTCTTTCCCCCGCTCTATTCTATTTCTCTATTCTGTTTGACACTTTGTCAAAGGGTCAGAGAGCATCAACAGGTTGATGAGAAACCCCACCTCGATTTTGCCTGCTGTATCCTGCACGCTTTTCCTGTGAGCGCTGGGAAAGTGACAAACATGCTTTCTTTTCCAGCTCCCGCTCATCTAACAGATCAGGATTCATCTGTGACAATCATGACATAGCCTGAAGCCAGGTATCATGTCTAGGAAGCACATAAGTTTTACCTTGGATCATGCTTGATTTACAGAACCAGGAACTACTGAAATGGGCTTATTTCCTATTTTTATCTTGAACTCTAGCTAAAGCCATTTTAATGTTTTTTTTTTTTCTTTTTCATTGCAATATAGCCACTGACTTTTGTAGATTTATTCACCATTCACCTAAATTTACCATGATCCAATAATCTCAGTATTAGTGTTTTTTTTTTTTTTGGACAGTTTTGAGATTAGTCATCACCATAATCCCCATTTGTTTAGCCACAGACTTCTGCAATATTCATAATTAAGGAGTGGCTTTGTGAGTGTTATTAGAAGCAAAAGCTGAATTCCTAACCTGTGAGAAATAAAGTTTCGGTAAGTTTTGTATAAGTTTTGTGAAATAAGAAGGGCTGGGGCTTGTAGCTGATCAGAATCGTGGTGTCATTCTTGCAGCTTAGATCATTTTCTACATGCTGTTTTTTGAAGGTGGCAAATTTTATTTATTTCTCCACATCTAACATAAATTGTGTACTTTGTGGTTGAATTTGGAAATTTTCCCAGAAAATACATGACTATTAGTTTACATAATCCAGATTGGAAACATAAAAAGTTATTAATTTAACATAAATCCAGTATTTCCTAACTTCTAATCCCTAAGTGAGTACAGACATCTTTGGGTGGTGTTTGAGATACCAGCAGCCTCAGCATGGATAGAAAACAACAGCAGCAAACTGTGAATACGGAAGAAAATGCAACGGAGTTGGTGAGTGTTGTAAATAGCTTTTAATTGCTTTTCTGTCTACTGTTCTTGCTTTCAACACTTAACATTGAAACTTTTAAGAAAATTAAGTTGCTTTTTTCCCTGATATATTCTATTAAAGAATGAGTGGGATCTGAACTGTTTATCAGTCATCATACATGTTGAGCTATTAGTGAAAGTAGTGCTTTCACATTGTTTTTGAAGTGTATATTTGGTGCCTAAATTTTGATATTTACATCAGGAATTTGATATAAATAGCCTGAAGCCAGGTATCATGAACTTAATTACAATCCAGGTTAGGTTCCCATAGGCAAAATTTTAGTACAGCATTTGAAATATTGTTTATAGGAAATATTAACAGTATTACATATATATAGCTATATATTAGATCTGAATCAATGAAAATATCTACTTTCAGTGGACTACTGGTATTTAAAGTAATAACATAGAAAATGTCTGATAGCGGGGGAATTTGTGCTGAAAAATGTTACTCTAGCAATGTATATATTTCTTAGAACATATTAAGGGTCTCATTTATCATTTGAACAAACCCCTCCAAATTTACAAATGAGGAAGTTGAAACACTAGGAGTGCAGGTAGTCAGTAGCAGAGTCAGATATTGATATTAGATATCACACACGTAATCATGAAGCTACTCTTCATAAAACTTGACTTGTAAATTAAAAAAAAATTATAACTCAAGAACTTGTGTTGATTTATGTATGCTGGTATGTGATACATTTTAATCACTGTAAGGTCGGTGTTCATGATTTAGAACGCTGTTATTTATGTGTAAATGTAAAATAATCACAGCATTTAGTGCTACACATTAAAAATCTTACAAACTTGTCTGTGTTCTATTATTATAAGCCAATGACTAAAATCTTCATATCACGGGTCCGCATGACATCAAGTCAGTGAACTGAAAAAAATGAGCATTTGTTTACTTTTTTGTAACTAAGTTGGAAACAAGAAACAAATTACAGGAGAAAGTCCTTAAGGGGAAAATAGTTCTTTATTAAATCATGTATTTTCAAAAAAATTTCCTAATAAAGAAAAATGAATTTTGTAATTAAGTTGAAGTTGTAGAACCAAGAAACAAATCTGACCAAAAAAAAAAAGAGATAGGATTTCATGTAAGAATTCTTTTGCAACTTGAAGATTATATTTGTGATCACTTTGGGAATTCAATAATGATTTCCATGAACTTAATTTATGGGATGCCTCGTATTCCAAGGAAGCTGCAACATGCTACAGCTTTAATACCACATATACCTCACTTTATTTCTTTCTATTTTTCATAATAAATAAATTATGTGGTTTCCTCACAATCCCAAAAACATTTATGCAATTTTGTCCATCGAATGAAATAGTTATGCTGAAAAAAGAAAAACAAGTTCTAAGATTGTGAGGCAAAAAGGAAGCTAGAATTTCACATTTTCAGTAATCTGATAGACAACCTAGAACCTTTTAAATACCCCCAAATAAGGAATAGAAGATGCTTTTAAAAGCCATTATTATGTGTTTGCTTATATTGACCTCTGAACAATATAGAAAATTGCCAAGAAAAAAAATCATCCCTGATCCTGCCCAGAGAAAATTACTGCTAAAAATTTGCTTTCCCCTTTTGCCCAATCTAATCTAATTTTATTATTTCATTTATTTCACCACATGAAAATTTTGTCAACTTAATAAGCTTTTCTTCCAAATTTCCATAAAGAACTTAATTATTATCCTGAGAATTGAGAGTTTATACTCCTGATATTTTATATAAGTGGATATTAATTCAAGTTGTAGTTTTGTTCCTCAGTAAAGTTTTCTTTATATAAGTCCTATGACATTGTATATGCTTAGGTGTTATTACTACTATGAAGCAGTACTTGGTCTGTTTGTTTATTTATTTATTATTTATTTATTTTTAAATTCTTCTTCTGCAGTTACCCAGAAATCCATACAGTTCAAACGAAGGTGCACACTGTGTCTGTCGATTGCCCAATGTCACCTTCCAGCCGCAGTGGGTAAGATGAGAGGCTGGAGGGAGGCCGGAAGCCTTCAGCAGTCCCTAGAGTGCTGGTGAAATGGGACAGGTCCTCGGCAGCCCCCTCTGCAGGGCCCTGCTTCCTTTCCCCCTTCCCTGGCTGCCTGTCCTGCAGCCACTCTATACATCTGTCCCCAGGAGGCCATGGTGATCTGGCAACACTTTCATCCTGTGCGTGAAAATGAATTAGATAATTTAATTTACCTTGTGATGTTACTAGCTGATACAAGAGAATAAATTAATGTAATATATTCTTAAGGAACCAATTTGCATTTAAGATGAAGCTTTATTGCTTTGTGCAAATTGGTGGCTATGCACATGGAATTGTGGGCAAAGGTGGTGTGTGTGTGTGAGAGAGAGAGAGAGCGAGAGAGAGACAGAGAGAGGAAGGTATAGAAAAATAATAAAAAGGCATATCAGAAACTTACATTACTTATCGTTGGGTGACAAAGAATTACAGGTATTATTTGGTTACATTAGTGCACTTAAACTATAACACTGGGGCATGAAAAAGTTTAGCCTTATTCTAATTGAAATCAGTTACCTATATCACCACTACGTCATTTCCCAAAATACTGACTTTTTATATTGCCATGCAGGTGACACCAAAACCATGGTCACTCTGGAAAACATTTCTGGTGTGTCTGCTAGCCTGTCTCATTGCTGCAACCCTCGTTGTTCTGGTCTTATATTTTGTCCACTTTGGCAAACTCACCAATGGTAGTACCAACGTCATAATTCAGACAGATGGAAAGTCCAGTCCTGTCACCTGCATCTCTGGTTCTGCCACATCCCTTGTTTCACCAACTCTGCCTGGATCTCAGAATACCCTGCCTTCTACTCCCATGGCAAGCCAAAACTCCCCCACCATGGTGCTTCCATCTGCTATGGAGATGACTGACACCACAGTGGACCACGAAGTCAACATTGAGTATTAAAAATGGCATTTTCAAGCCCTCAGCCCCCCTCCAGCCAGTTCAGCATCCTTGCCCTGAAGAAGACATGTCCACAGTGTTCTCTCCTCCTTCCCAAGGGTTCCAAAGCATTTGGCTTCATGAGATCTTATCCTCTTGCTCAATCACTTACTGGATTCCTGTATGAAAATGACTCAGTCTTGGGTCTTCCAATATCCAAATAACTGGAAAAGAAAGTTTCAACTTAGCCTAAATGACTCATCCACAATGGACTTCAGTTTTCTTTCCACCCCTTCCTGTATAACCAACCTCATTTATCACTAATGAACATTTCAACCGCTGAAGAGGCTGCCAGCTGAACTCTGCTCTGCTTAGCTGTATGCTGGTCTTTAAGCCAGTATTTATTACCCAGTTGTTGGCTATTTCACAAACTCACACACTTGACAATTTTTAGCCTTTGTAGTCCAGCAAGAAAAGATGCAAATATCAATTAAAGCGGTTAAGGAGTATGAGCTGATTTATAGCTACAAGTCCTCCTGTTAGGGGATTCTGAAAAGAGAGGAGATGAGTGAGTTAGGAATAACCAAGGAAGGTTTCAGAGAAGGGTTAAAGTTGAAAAGGGTAAGGGCTTGGATTTAGGTAGAGGTCATTAGAACAGAAGGCGTGAGGGCTAAGGAACTCTATAACATTTAAAATCAATAGTACACTCAGAAACACTTCAGATGTAACAAAAGATATACTTTATGTCTGCATTTTTTCATTGACATTCTCAATGTTATTCTTCCAAATCTGATATTTTGCTTAATATCTAAATTCTTATAAGCTGCCAATTATAAAATTCAAACTTTGAAATTGCTTTATGTTTCATACTGTAACTTGAGAGCATGATGCTTATTATTGGGTTAGACTCCTGCTCAATATTGCTTATATTCTGAGTGTTTACTACTCACTAGAAAAACACATATTTTTGATCTTGAAAAGGCCTTAGAGTTTAATCAAACTGCCCATTCAACTCCAATCTCCAAACTCTACAAAAAGAGAAGCCTCTCCCTGAGAAGGGAAGTCCTGGTCAAACGCTCAGACCCGGGAGTAGACACAGAGCCAAGATCCCCAGCTTACAGTTCTGACTCCCTTTTGTACGTCATTAGAGGTTCTAAAACTGTTCTCTTATTTTTCAAGATTTCCTAAGGGAAAAGATTTTGTATTCTATATAGTGCTGATTATTTGATTTGCTACAGGCAATAAGAAAATGCTTAAATTAGCAAAGACTGTGAGGTCTTTCCGAGTAATTAAGCTCCCCAATGTGGTCATTCTTTAGACCACATGGGTCTTATTTATGGACAGCTAGTATTTCTCAAACACTGGAAAATGTAAAAATTTGAGTCTTTCAAGAATAATTATTTATGCCACTAACTTTAATTTTTTATAGCATTTAAGAATGATGCAAGGTGCTACATAAATTTTTAGAAAAAGAAGTTTCACAGAGCTGTGGATAAGGTTAATAAGCGTGGGGAGTAAGTGTACATGCATTTTCCCCAGCATTTTTCAAATCAATTAATCTCTATTGTATGTTTGATTTAAATGCTTGTGAAGAAGAAAGTTTAAATGTGCTTCCTTTTATGTTTTAAACTTTGCTTTGTGATATAGTTTTTTAAAAAACAGAACACTTTAAAGAGAGATCTAAAAGAAATGTACTGCTAGAAAGGAATTTAAAAAGTCTTGTATTCTAGTAGTCATCTTAAGTTAACCAGATGTTGTGATAAGAGCTGTTTCTTCCTTTATTCCTATTATCCAGCTATAATACAGAATGCGGGATGGTAATACAGGAAGGATAATGTCTGTGTGTTTAAGAAGAATCTTTTCTTATAAGTGAATTTCCTACATTAAATATTGGGTTGTGTAGGGTAAGGTAAAAGGTATCAGGCTTTTCTGCCCTCCCGCCATCAGGATAGATGAGGGAACCCTGTGATCCTGAATGCATGCCTGATGGCGGGCACCTGCAGTGGGTTCACCTGGGCTGAGACTGTGCTTTTAAGGGCGGCGTCACGGGACACCAGGAGAAGCCGAAGCAGAAGCCAAAAGAGAAGCCAAGAAAGAAGCCGAGAACGCCAGAGAGCCCAGAGAGAGTGAAGATTTGCTGGGGCCTGGGACTCCTGCCTGCCATGTATCCGCTAAATCCCAATAAAAGACTTGCAAAAAACCACTGAGGACTCTGACTCCTCCTTTACCCGGTCTGCATGGGATCAGAAAACCTGCACCGTGTCCAGTCCTGCCCTTACAGGTTGGAAGAAGATATTGAGGTTAAGATTACCTGAGGTCATCTGGTTGTTGTGTTTTGTAAATCAGGGATATGAACAAGCTCTTCGTTGCTTTCTTTTTTTCCTTTTAGACTTTTATGATTAATAAAATATTAAAATAGTAAACAAAGTTGTGTAAACTGTCTTTATAAATTAAAACATGAACAAAACTTTACAAAGTACTATGAAAATGCTATGTGAATTATGCATGTTCAATAAATCAATAATCACCCACTTTGGATAACTTATTCACCAAATATTAAAACCAGATATATGTTCTAATATTTGTTATTTTAAAATTTTGTTCATCACAGTTCAGTTGAGTGATAGTGAAAATTTTAAATCAATCAGGAAACTTCTTTTAATATTTTATTTTATATAATTCTTACATCATTTTTCATTTCTGCACAATGTATGCATTTTCATTTTGGTTATATTCCCCATACAATCGCACCCCCGCCCCCTTATTTTGACTCTAGTTCTTCCTCTCTCCGCCCCTCTCCCCAACCCCTCCCAGTGTGTCTGGTTTATAGTTGCTTGTTGATTTTGATTTTTACTTTGTATTGATTAGTCTTTTTCCTCGTCTCTCTTATTTAGGTTTTCTAAATTCTAATCAGGAAACTTCTTAAGCTCTTTTGTGAAGAGGACATTTGATCTTAAATACAAAGTAAAGCATGTTAAGTTTTCAAATACACTTCTTCAAATAAGTGTTTTCACTGCTTTAGATGCTTTACTGATTAAAAAAAAAAGTGTTCTTTCAGGCACCTTCTTCCTAAAAAAGGCCATTTATATACTGAAATCTACTTTAATAAGGAGCCCTGCTCCATGGTGATGTCCCAAGCATTTTAGGAAAATCTTTCAGAAGTTTTACTATTCACGTCACCCACTTTTATATTACACAGTTTCAAAAGCTCTTTGAACTCTGAAACTATTGTAACAAATCATTTTTTGTTGTAACTATTGTAACAAATCAAACTTTGTAACAAATCATTATCTGTGTACTAAATCAGTAGGATTTAATTGCTAACTCATTTTTATATGTCCAGATTCCTATGCCTTTGTGAACTCCGGATAGTCTTTAAAACGCTTTTATAAACGTTCTGACAGTTGCAAAATTCTAACAGAGTCTAATAATCATGAATCAGTTGGAGTCCATTACTGTGTCAACGTGAGCTGGCCTCAGGAGCCAGCCACACCTGCTGAGGATTCAGGTCTCCGGGAGTTTCACCTGGCACAGGTTAACCTCAAGGGCCCCTCCAGGAAGGAGAAGGATCACACCTGCCTTTGTGCTCCTGCAGAGCCCAGCCCTGTGTGTGACAAGAAGCTACCCAGCGAGCGTTTGGCGCTTGGTGGCACTGACTGCATCCCAGAAACATCAAGAGCAAGAGATGGTGGAGATTATCCTATCTAAACTCTTCCCTTTTGAGATGGAGGACCCGAACCTGGAATAACCTCGGCAAGTACTTGGCGTGTGCGGGCACAGCCAGGAAGGACTCACCCCTGTTATCTTGCCCTGCGGTGCATTAGCGGTAAAGCTGAGATTACCTGGGCTTAGATCTGGGGCTCTGCACCAACATGAAACTTTTCTGCTTGACATTTTGTAACTTCCATTTTGTCTTTCTTCCTGCAGGGATTCAGGTGTTTAGCTCATAACTTATTAATTGCTAACTCATTTTTATATGTCACGTTTTACTCTATATTTTCTTCATCATATCACAATTTTCCTTTTCCTTTCTCCTAAGGATCAGGTTTCTTCTTTCCAGGTTTTCTTTTCTTCTTTCTACGTCTCAATATCATATGAAGAGCAGTTTACACGGACAAACTCTAAAACTAAGCAACCATTTCAGGAAACATAACTCTCACTCACTGTGTGATGTCTGGTAAATGACTTGGCCTCTCCACTTCAGTTTCCTTATCTAGAAGGTGGAGAGAAAAACAGAAGAAAAAGGTCACCTACTTCATAGGCCAATTGTGCAGAGTGAATAGATTAATGTGTGTGTGTATGTGTGTAAAGCACTGAGCTTGGCACTAACAATGTTCAATAAAATGTTAGCTGTCACTCAATATGTGGATAATGGTGAACTCAAAAAATCATGCATGGTTTTCCCCTAGCCACCTAGAGTATTTCTGACCATCTCCTTCTTTAACTAAGAATTGATATTCAGGGCCTCCCCGGTGGCACAGCGGTTGAGCGCTGGGTTGCAAAGCTGCCCGCAGCCTCTGCAGCGCCGGTTCGATCCCCGGCTGCTCCCCGGCCACCGGAGGAGGGTCCCACATGGCGCGCAGACCTCTCCTGCCGCCCGCTGCTCCCCTCAGCAGTGTCCTTCGGTCCTTCTGCCTGCTCTGTTCCCCGCTCTGACTCTGGTGAATTCTCTCACCCTCCTGCGCTTCTGACTGTACCCAGGGCTTGTATAAATAAATAAATAAATCTTTAAAAAAAAAATTGATATTCAGGCCTCCCTGGTGGCACAAGAGGTTAAGCATAGCACTATGAAGCCATCCGCAGCCTCTGCAGCACAAGTTCGATCCCCAGCCGGCCAGGTCCTGACTCGCCTGCTGCTCCCCTCAGCAGTGTATTTCAGTCACTCTGCCTGTTCTGTTCCTTGCCCTGTCTCTGGTGAATCCTCTCACCCCGCACATCTCTGACCTGTACCCCAGATCTTGTATGCATAAATAAATCTTTTAAAAAAAGAATTGATATTTAGAAAATGACAACATGTTATTTGATCAAGAAAAATGGCACCTGATGGATGAAGCTCCTGAGAAAATTTAAAGCTGCATAGGGTCTTGGGCTGGTTGGAATAAAAAATACAGTGCATGCAGGAAGATCTTACTAGGCATGGAGGTCCAACAGGAAGGATTCCCCTTCCCTCCTTCAATACCAACAGAATGAAAGTGCTATCAGCTGGCTGAGAAAGAAAATTAAAATGCATAATACGTAAAAACGTGCTTTAAAAATTTGGCTATTTTTTTTTTAAATTATGGTGAGCAGTAAAGGCCACCTAGTACAAAGTCAGTAGGATTTAAAAATATTATAATATTTTACTGAATGAAATATATTTTGGGCATATTTTATATAGTACTTCTCACAGATCCTTTCCACCAAGTCATCATAGTAACATACATCATTAAACCAATCGCGCTGAACAAATGGGCTTGATTATCCTAGTTCTGGGGATGACTCAGGGCAGGAGGGGGTTTTCAAACACTGGTGCTATTTCTCTTATCGGGAGAAGGTGCCCATAGTGCTGGGATTTCTCTTGAGAAAATGGCAGCATTTTACAAAGAACACAGCTGCCACCATTTCCCCTTAGAATAAAATTTTGAGTGGTGGAGCCCAGCTGGACATGGAGCCATCGACAGGATGGAGGCCTTGCCTCAGAAGCTCACCAGTTGTGCACTGCGGACAAGAGTCTTTCAGACTTGTATAGCATCTGCTTCG